AAAAAGTAAATTGTTATATAGTGTTGCAATACTTTTGACACACACTGTATATTTTGTCCTGATGCCCACAACAACAAGCTAAGCAAATGATAAACTGCAATAATTCTAAGTATACAACAAAAGCAATGTGACAAAATGTTGATTACCTGCCAATGCTGCTGTATTTTGCTTGCTTACAAAAATCACATAAGGCCATATGATCACAATACTCATGTTCATTACACAAACTAATCCTTATTGTATGCAGGTCCTTTCAGGCTAGACATTTTTTCTCTATGTCATCCCAAAATACAAACAATTACTACACGTCCATACTACAGTGCCTTCAGTACACTTGACGTCCTCAACCTATTAGGGAAAGCTCAACTATCAGACTACTCATACATACACAATTCTCAGCTATCTTCCTAACAAAACAACAAGCCAGTGACACATTACACTATTGTACAACACCACTCCAAGCTCTACAACTTTGCAAACGCAATTACATAAGAACCTTGATTTACAGCACTTGCAATGCAACTTTCCCTCTTTCCACAGCTAATGAAGTAAGCAATATTGCAAACGTACTATGTTTGCACATTACTCGGTAATTACAGCACACATTTAATCTGGACACTGTGTGTAATTCAATCATGCCAGGCACAGGCAATTCCCCTATCAGCAACACACACAGAGCTGAGCTCACCAGTGTCTCCAGTTATGAATAGATCATCCTAATCCTGGTTGTCAAAAAGGTCCTCACGTTCACATTCACACCACACCTCTCATGCAGATAGAGAGGCAAAAATGGAGGAAGTTGAAACAAAATGTGCTGAGCTCAAAACACTAGCAGCAGAAGTGAAATCAGAGGTACACAACTTGTTCAGGTTCTGTAACTCCTTCTCAGATAGTTATGACGTACTTCATCATGTCTTGAAAAAACTTCCTACCAAGCTGCTTTTTGACGATTCTGAAGGGAACAGGGAATCAAACAGTATTAAAGAGCAAGATTATTTGAGTCAAAAACGAGCAGAATTCAAGAGTGCTTTTATACTGCAAGCCAAAGATGAAAACCAAACACAGCCAGGTCTAAAAGTTACAGACCCAAAGCTGCAAGACTTTATCAGACATATTGAATTGCTCTGGCCAGAGTTTCAAACTGGTGAACACCTAAGTGTAATCTTTTATGCTACACAAGATGCAAGAGCTAAACTTTACAATATTTTGGACATGTTTAATGACAATGGACCTTATGCAGATTACACTCCAGGTTACATGAAAGCCTATGATGATCTACTTTTATGTGTCATAAATGTAGAGACTAACATTCATTCTAAATCAGCAACAGTACAGACACTGAAACAAGTACAACAAGAATTAAAAGTTATTAGAGGAGAAGCACAAAAGAAAAAGGAAGCAAGAGAGAAGGAGAAGGTCAAACGTGAGTTTGATGAAGTTAACAGATTTCTAAGGAAACCAGCAGAGTTGTTAAGGGAAAAGTATTCTAACTAGCCTTTAAGAAAATAAAAAGATATACAAATTTCAAAGTCTAAGAGACTGGAGATATTATCATACTTATAAAGTCTCTTGTAGTCTCTTGTACATTACTTTATACTCAACACTATAATTTGCATGTCTCTACATTATAGTTCTCAAAGTAATATACTATCAGACTAAATGTAATAAAATCCTTATCTTTAATATATACTCTCATCTTAATTCATATTACTCATACTTTTCTATTTTTAATTGCTCTGTGTACCTCTTTCCTAGTAAGATAATAGGCTATAACTGTTACACTATACTATAGTGTATAAGAGTGTAATCCTTGTCAACACTAGTGTAGTAATGTTAACCATTATACTAAAAGGCTAGTATAATTACTAATTAGTAATCCATACCCTACACTCTATATAAGTACATGTTACCAAATTAAGGTACTACCCCCTAACAGTAGCTGTTCACATGTGGTAAGCTACCAAGCTTACAAAGAGAGGTACTTTGATTACTATACTTATAAGGTAACAGTATATAAAAAAATTGTAATAAAGTATAAAATTGTAAAAAATTGACCTTTCTTTACAAAACAATAAGAAAAATTAGATTAATTATTTGTATTAAGAATAGTAGACAGTATATAATTAAAAAGAAATTATTTGATGAAAATCTGTCTAGATTTAATAAAGATAAGTAATAATTATGTAATCAACTAAATAATATACAAGTGTATAATTAGTTTTTAATATGAAAAAAATTGAATTATTAAAGTTAAATTTATGTATTCTAGTACTTAGTATAGCTACTCTTAGCTTTCTTTAAAGTAATTACATGAGAGAGTATAGAACTATATAAATGATTAATAAAATTTATATTTATTTAGTACTACTTCTTTTATATTACTTTCTATAGTTTAGTTTTATTTAAAGAATGAGAGAATTAGTAATCTAATTAATGTTTTAGCTTACTCTAAACATGTTTTATAATGTTCATGTCAGGTCTCTGAGAGAGCCAGAAAATGAGTTTAATTTTCTTTTTTTAAAACTAGTCTTATATAAATTATAAATTATATTTTAAATTATTATTCTGTTAAAAAATAAAGTTAGATTTCTTAATACTCTTATTATAGAGTATACTCAAGAGCCCCTCCTCTAAGATACTAACAAATTTGAATTAATCTATAGTACTATTAATATAAATAAGATATTCTTAGAACAGTACTAGGGAAGTACTAAACACTGTTACAAACAAGTTCTGAGTTTGTAGTAACATACAAAAGCTAACAGGACAAAGGTATCTTTGTTACAGTCAGAAATACAAACTAATACATGTACTAATAAAGGACTCACCTTTGTTACAGTCAGAAATACAAACTAATGTAACAAAGGTAAAGAATACTAACTATATATACTAAGGAAATAGTCTATACTCAAAGGAGAAAGTAAAAGGGGAACAAAAAGAGGATATAATGTATACTTAAAGGGGAAGACAAAAGAGGATAGTATACATTTAGGAATGCAGGAAAGGTAGTTATAATAAAAGGGGGACTTGATGTAAGTATATAGAAAAAGTGTGTGGCTTAGTAAGCTACTGTAAGAATCTATATATAGGATTCACAGTTTTGTACTATAGAACTGTACAGAAACTGTTGTAAGCTGTCAGACAGGCTTACACTCCTCCCCCCTCTAAAAAATAGTACCCTTATAGGAATGTAAAGCTAACTAGGCCTATAGGACTTTAGGGGCTAACCTTTAAAGCTCTGACTATACCTTCTATTCTTGTCCCTATTTACTCTATCCTACTCATTCTACTAAATACTGTCAACCTTAGTCTTTGTACCTTGTGTCTATAATGTACAATACCTTGTAAACCTCCTCCTCTCCTTCCACCAGACCTAGTTAATTGAGAGCATGTTGTAGAAAGAGCACATTATCATTTAGGACATAACACTTAAGTTAGCTTGTATAGAATCTTAGGAAAGTCTGATTAGAGTCAGGTAGCTCTAGAGTGTGTTCTGACTTGTCTGAGTTTGCTACAATAATAAAGTACAGTCTATTATAGTAGGGCATGAATTTTACAGTGTGTTCTAGTGTTTGTACAAGGTAGTCCTAGTAGTAATTACAAGTAGAGAGTATAACTTAGTCTTCTACTATAAAACAATCTTCTATAGTACAGTCTTAGTTTGTATAATGTACTTAGTAGGTCTTAACTGTTAGAAGGGTGTCTTGTGCCTCTGTAACATCCTAATGTATATAGGCTAGGAATTCTGATACTTGTACTTCTAGAGAATCTACTTACAACTGTTCTAGTTGTGTAAGTAGTAGAACTGTCTATAGTAAGTATTTATAATATAGTTAAAATAGGGAATATTCTATAGAAGTGTTTACTATATTCATAATACAGAACTAGACCTATAAGAGCTGAGCCTACCAACCCTACTGTTGACAATCAACATAGAAGTGTAATAACTGGCTTACTGTCTTATTAGTACACTCACTTACTCTGTCTGTTTCCAGGTAGTATACTGTTAACATCTTCAGCTTTACACTTGTCCTTACATGTAATGTGGTCTAAAATCCAGACAGGAACAGACAGTCCTAGTTAGAAACAATTTCCTAAGGTAAGCTGTTTTTACAATACTATTTGTTAAAGAACAGTTCTGTAAATTCTTCTACTATTATGTTTATCCTACACAGTTCAATCCTAATGTCTGTACTACCTAGTCAATCTGTTATTGTTACTATTCTGTTGTATCTACTGTCTTCTAGCAATAGTCTAACAAAGTCAATTGTAATACTCTCAAAATATACATTCAGAACTAGTAGTAAATGTAGTAGACTAGTAAGTTTTGTAGTTAGGTTCTTATTGTGTTAGTACACATTATAGTCTAGAATATAGTTCTGTTTAAGATCCTAGTGTATGTTAGACTAATAGAATAAGTTGTGTAAGGACAGATAAGTCTTGTCTGTACTGAAATGTTCTAGTTTATTATGTATAAGGTAGTATAAGGTTTTACACACATTTTCAGAGCTTAGAATTACTAACTAGTTGTCTAGGTATAGTAGTCTGTAATTCTTATAAGATTCTACTGAAGAGTTCTGATTTTAGTTACTATCAGATCTTCTTGATTTTATTAATTCTTTGGATTACATAATCACTTTCTTCATGTAGTTAGTTCTTTCCTATTTGGAATGGACAAGAGGAGTTTTGACTAGAGCCTACAACAACACTAGAGGGAACAAGTCTACCAAAACCTTGCCTCTCATTTTAGAGCCTACTGTGAGAGGTAGTGTCTCTGTTCTAAAGTGTCTAGGTTGTTTTTGTCTTGATCTTAGCCTTGAGAGCCTTACTACACTTGTTTTGAATTGAACTGACTGTTTTGACACACAAGAAGTATGATGACATGGCTGCTAAGAAGAGGATCAAGAGAAGTACTATACTTTGACAGTAGTAAGCTTGAGGAACTTCTGCAGTTTTTTGAAGACATTAAGATGTTAGCTACTGACTTCCAGAAGGACACTGAGTAGATGTGTAAGTAAGTAACATACTATACAGTAACAAGCTGTAGCAGTTTGTAGGCTACTGTGCCTGAGTTAAAGAAGAAAGGAGTGTGTAATTAGAGTATTGTGAAAGAGGAGATCAGAAAGCTCTATCTGGAGCTGATTAATGGTTAACACTACACAAGAGCCAATATTACACAACTAGTCAATGTGTAGAGTGAGAAGGAAATGATAGTGCAGACAGAGTTCAGCTACTACTACTACAAGTTCCAGGTGCAAGTAGAGTACTTGAAGGAGTAAGAGAAGATGTTAGTACACAAGTTAGACTGTAAGTTCTAGAGAGGGATCAGAGGGATACTAAGGACAAACCTAATATAATGACTAGAGATTCTCTATGTGAACAAGAATGTAAGCAAGCTGTTCAAATTTGCTAATATAGTTAGGCTAGCAGACCACATTCTTCTAGCAGGGCAGACAGAGGCAGGCTGAGACTAGACAGTAACATTACTAAAGGAGAAGCCAGAGAAAGAAGTAGGAGACAAGTATGCAAAGATTGTAAGGAAGCTTAAAGAGTTACAAGCTTAGGTTAATAAAGTAAGCAAGTCCAGGAAGATACTAATGAATCAAGCACACAAAACTGACCAATCTGCCAATTCTGTGAAATCTGACCTGAAGTACAAGAGGACCTACAACTTTTGTAGAAAGTAAGGACATTTTGTACATAACTGTAAGACTGTGAGCAAGTACACTCAGAGGGGGAAGTGTATGAGGTTGGGACAGAAGATTGTGTTAATGAGTAGGGCATTTGTGCTAGCCAGTGTAGAGGGAGCAATGTTGAAGGAGTATATAGACCAATACTATAAAGACAAGCCTGTGTTCACAGTAGGCACAATTAATAAAGCAAAAGATAGGTTGAATGCAAGTGAGAGAGAAAAGTACAAAGCTGTTCTTAGAGCAGATTTGGATACAGAGGTGACAAGGTTGGAGGAACACTTGAGGGATGTAAAGAGACAAAGAGAGGAGGTAAGGACTATAAAGGCTAACACAAAGCTAGTCAAAGTCAGACCAAAGTAAAGTACTGAGTCAAGTAAGATCATTAAGCAGGTCTTAGACCAGATGATAGACAGTATTGTCACATTAACACACTGCAAGTTGTTTATAATAGCTCTAGAGCTCAAGTGCCAGTATACAGCTAAGCTTATAAGGACAACTCAGATGTGTGACAAAATGCCAAACAAGGCCAGAAGTAGACCTACAAAGGCAGAGGAGGAAGAGACAAGTGAGGAAGCAAGGACTGACAGTAGAGAAGATTAGTACACAGGTACAAGCATTGTACACAAGGACAACAAAGCACAGTCAAGCCTAGTAGTAGAGCCAAGAATGAGCAGATTGTGTGGGAAAGTAGTAGATTATATTAGATTGAGTCAGATTTGAGCTGGAGAACAAGAACAAGAGTAGAGCAGAGGAGTGAGTGTGGCAAACAAGGCTGGAAGTGTACTAGCAAGGACAAGGGAGAATAGTACAATAGATGAGTAGTAGAGGCTGTTACAAAGGGTAGTAGTAAGCTGGATAAACAAGGTCAGAAGTGTATCTGTAAGAATCAAGTACTAAGACAATAAGAATCAGTCAAGCCTAGTAAGAATACTAAGTACAAGCAGATTATGTAGGAGGATGTCAGAAACTGTTGAATCAGAGTAGTGTTAAGCAAGGGAGCATTAGATAGGCACTCTAGTCAGTAACAACAAGGCTAGAAGTGTACCAGTCAGACTAGTAACAGTAAAGCTGAACAACAAATTGGAGACTGAGAGCTTACTAGACTAGGGAGCTGTTATGAATGTAATGTGTGAAAATGTTTAGAAACACTTAGGAGTACTAAAGGAGCAAGTGTAGACAAACCTTAGGCTAGGAAATGTAGGATCAATTACAATCAAAGGTGTCATTCTAAGACTCAAGGTGTTAGTAGGTGGAATATTAATAGTGATACCAGTTTATGTAGTGAAGGACACAATGTTTGACATAATAATCAGGAGGCTGTTCTTCATGTTAACTGAGTGTGAGACAAAGGATTTTAAGGACAGTAATCAGATTTTGACCTTGACAGACTTAGTAGATCAGAACCAGAAGTGTCAGGTTGAGACCCAAGTAGCTGTTAGATAAAACCTACTACTTACTACTACTACCATCTATGTTAGAGTTAGAGAGGATTAGTCTGGCAAGCCTTTAGTCTTGGTACAGGTTACATTCTCTTTACTCTAACATTCCCTTATACCCCTTTCTTTTATAGACACTCATTCTTACTTGAGACTCACACTCTTTGTTTCTTTATCTTACTTTAATTGATACCTTTTATCCTTACCCACACTCCTTATACTTACCCTTTATTATTACTTCTTAAAGCAAGTGACTGAGGACAGTCACTATTTAAAGCTTAGGAAGGTGAAGAGTTCTGATTTTAGTTACTATCAGATCTTCTTAATTTTATTAATTCTTTGGATTACATAATCACTTTCTTCATGTAGTTAGTTCTTTCCTATTTGGAATGGACAAGAGGAGTTTTGACTAGAGCCTACAATGACACTAAAGGGAACAAGCCTACTAAAACCTTACCTCTTACTACAATACTTCTGAGATTGTATTAAAGCTTGTAACAGAACTCATCTGTGTTATAACTGTTCCTAATTGTTGTAAGAAGGTTAGGATCTGTAAAGATTTGTATAAATGTGCTTCCTAAGGTTTCTTGTACTAGGTTCTCATTTTCTAGACTAGTGTTAAAGTCTGAATGATAGGAGAGTGTATTAGTAACTGTGTTCTCTTCTCCTTTAATGTAATACAGCTTATAGTTATACTAGGAAAGGTCCTCTATCTACTAGGCTTGTCTCTAGGACAGATTACACTGTATATCTAAGTATTTGAGAGTGTAGTAATCTGTATAAACATAGAAATGTACTCTTAGGAGGTAAATGTACTATTTCTTAAGTGTGTAAATAATTGTAAGGAGTTTGTACTTGTATACTAGGTAATTGTGTTCTGTACTGTTACATTACTTGGACTTGAATACTATAAGCTTTACTGTTTTCTATAAGGATCCAACACTAAGGACTGCTCTAGTCTTAGAATTACTCACATTTATAGTTACATAAATCTGCTCTCCTAAATCATAGTCTACAGAAGTGAGACACTTGTAGCTAGTAACAATAGACTTGATTGTGTTGAAAGTGTGTTAGTGTTCTGGTTTCTACTCTAGAAACACCTTATTACAATCTTTACTTGTGAGTAGAGAAAGAACTATAGTATATTCTGTAAGGTGTAGAAGGTATACTATAATATACTACAAAAGTCTGAGAAAACTGTAAATGTCCTAGGCTCTCTAGGACTGTAACCATTCTAGGATGTACTTAACCTTGTCTGAGTCTGCTTCTGTACCCTTTTCTGTAATTAGATACTTGAGAAACTTAACCTCTGTATAGAATAACTTAGTTTTCTTTTATAAACAGATGAGACTCTTGTTACAGAGTACTTACATAACTTTTCTAATGTTTCTAATGTGTTCTGCCTCTGACTCTAACCAGATAATAATATTATCCAGGTAGACATAACAGATCCTTCTAATAAGATGTTCTAAAGCCCTTGTAACTCTTTACTATTGTATAGCTAATACATTGTATAATCCTATTAGTATGACTGTTTACTCATATAGTCTGAACAGAGTACTAATTGTAGTAAGTAGGATATGTTCTAGATTCATACAGGTTTGGAAAAACATGTTAGTTATGTCAATCTTTATATATATGTATTCTCTAATAGTATTATTTATGATTTTGTTAATGTAGAGTAGTAGGGTCTAGTTATGGATTGTGTTACTATTTAATGCCTAGTGTTACAGTTCTCTGCTCTTGTACCTTCAGTTCCAAGGGTTCCACACCCTTCTGTACTGGAACTCAGGACTTCTGTCCCTCAGGGGCACTGTCTATAGACTATATGTGTGCTGACTCTTACTACTACCCTTCCTTACTTCATCATTCCATTCCTTTGACCACCCCTTCATTCTTTGTTCATTCTATAGTCTCTTACCCTTTGTCCATCCCTTCATTCTTTGTACCTTTATCTTTAACATTCTCTTCTTTTATTCTTCATAGTTTATTATTCTTAGTAGCTCATGCTCCCTGAGTACTCTTGTGTAGTTTAGTATATATAGGCATACAAGATCAGACTAGTCCTATAGTCTTGATCTTGTCTACTCCAGGTAGTCCTGTACTCTTAGGCTCACTCTATATACTCTACTCTTGTCTTACTCTCTCTCTCTGCCTGTTCTGTGAGTTCCAACTATGTTCTAGTACTTACATTCTGTATTTCTGTTGTGTAGGATAGTTGTAGCCTGGGTCCCCTCACTGAGCCTTTGGGTCCCCTCTATACTGTTGCTGACATCAGATTAAGACTACCTATTACCACCCTACAACTCTCCTACATTTTGAGTA